GAGCTATGGTTGGGGTGTGTGTTCAGAGGAGGTGTTGCTGCTACATGGCTGTAGGGTAGAAGAAGGGCAGGTCACAAGCGAAGTGAGGTCTTATATAGCAGAGGTAGGCGTGGCTTGATAGTTGACTTCACTTTGTTAGGCGCTTGTAGAAGTATCTTAGACCACGAGGCTGGTAGGAATTTTAGGTAGGGTATGGCTAGCTGTACATAAATGCAATTGTAGTTGTAGGGAAATATCCACTGGTAATATTCTCTTTTCTCCAGGCGGTGCAGTGAAATTTGTTGTCTGCAGGGTTGTATCCTACATGTAGATGTAACGGGCGGTGCAGGAGACTTGTTGTTTGCAGGGTTTGTTTTTGTGGTGGGTGGGGTTTGTTGTGGTGAGTTGTATCCCACATGTGTGAGACACATGGGCGAGGGTGTGGATGAGCCTGGTTGCCATGTGGAGACAACTTTTGTCTAGAGGCATGAAATCTGTGGGAGAGCAGAGGGAGAAGGGGGGTTGTGAATAAGAGAAGATTGGGGTGCAGGCTAAGAATGTGGGGCCTCGTGGTAGGCACATTGTGGTCCTCAGTAGTGCCTGGTGGGGTGTGGGGTCCTGCTGCTGAGCAGGGTTCACGTCAGGGGAGGAGGGTCCATGACAGCAGCAGGGTGCAAGAAAGGGCAGTGGGTACCTGAGTGAAGAGGAAGAGGTGCCCAGAAATGTGGGTGGGTGGTGCTGCAAAGGTAATGGTGGGCAGACTGGTGAGGAGGTGTGGATGAATGTGTTCAGGGCAGGGAAGGCTGGGCATGGAGCAGTAGCTTTGAATGCAGAAACCGCTGACGAGTGTTTGTGTAGGTCGTGACAGACAGCAGGAGTGAAGTGGTCGATGTCAGGTAAGGCGTGTGATGCTGTGATAGTGGCGGAGGTTATGTGCCTGCCAGTTCCTCTGATGTCGCTTCGTTGCAGGGTTGAAGGAGCTTCAGGGTTCAGCATTAGCACCAAACGTTGATGGTACCAACAGGGGTAGATACATCTGTGCTGGGGTTGGGGCTGGCGTCTGAGGCAGGACGGTGTGTTGAGGTTTTGTAGACGTGGGTGCTTGGGGTAGGAAGATGGAGCAGCTGCATGCTTGGAGGAGCAGAGCTGCCTAGGTGTTTAACCTGTGGTGTGGACTGGGTAGCAGGTCTCGTGATGTCTTGTGAGGCATTGGTCTCTGGGGAGCGCTGATCTGGTTGATGAGACTGGAGGAAAGGAAAGTGTGGCTGGAGTTGGTGTGGTTTCATGGCGCACAGCAGTGTGGGTTACTGGTACGCTTCAGAGCATCCTGTATGGCAGCGAATTTGGGGTCAAGGAGGGTTGGTGATGCATTCTGATATTTTGCGTGGCGACTTCTGTGGGCAGGAACAGACCAGTCATGCTATTTTGTTTGTCTGTAGTATAGAAACGATGAGCTGCTCATGGATAAGCCAGTCTTATGTTGTGATTGAAGACTGGGAGATTGATCAGTTTCTCTCCTAAACCGTGGAGTGTGATTCGGGGTCACTATTTAATTACAGAGAGAGTTGCTGGTGTGTGTGCTCAGAGGAGGTGTTGCTTGTGCTTGGCTGTAGGTAGATGGGGCAGGTTAGCTGCAGGTGAGGTCTTATAGCGGTGGTGGCTTGATAGTTGACTCCGGGTTTGTTAGGGCGGCACTGGTTGCTCAACGTTAGACCACGAGGCGAAGTGGAATTCAAGAGGGTTGGTGAGTTAGCTTAATAATGGTAGTTGTGGTTGGTGGGGAAATATCCATCACATTAGTAACTGTATTATGCAGGAACTGTAGTGTATTCCTGCAATCGCTGCTCTGTCAATCCATGTCACACCTATCCTGCAAGACCCTCACCCGCCGTGACCTCCTTCTACCTACAGCCAAGCAGCAAGCAACACCTTCTGAGCACACTCCCAACCAGCTCTCTCTACTCCACGCTTGTAATCACGCTACTCCCAGCACCAAGCTGCATTGTAACATCCACAATATGTTACAGAGATGACAGAGTTCTTTCTCCATCCCATCCTGAGTGTGAACCTTCAATCACGAAACCCCCGCCTTGAGAAGGCCTGACACCGCCTCTTTTCATTAGTGTCAGTTCAGCAAGCACTTCCTTCCCGCGCCAGCCTGAGCCTCCGCCATAGCGACTTGGCCCCTCAAGTTCCAGGTCCTCTAATTTCACATCTGTGCCTCTACTCAATGCTTATTAATATGTTATCTACCTATCAAGTTGGACACATCCATAATATGTATGAGCACATTGTTTTTTTTTTCCATCTTCATTCTGTGGTACCAATATCTCATAACTCTGCAGTCCTGTAGGGTTATGAGATATTGGTTCACACTCAGGATGGGATGGAGAATGGAAACTCACAATGTGCTCTCTGTATACATGTTGTATTGATGTACAATGCAGCTTAGTGCTGGGAAGTGGCAGCGCGAAGGTTGTGTGTAGAGAGCTGGTTGGTGAGGGTGCCTGAGGAGGACAGCCAGGGTCACCATGCTCGCCGGCGGGAGGAGGACTGCCAGGCAGCGTGAGGAGGTGTTGTTTGCTTGCGCTGTAGCTAGAAGAAGAGAGAGGTCACCACGAGGTCAGGTCTTTTATAGGAGGTAGGCGTAAGATAGCTGACCCCTGCTGCGGGGGGCGGCGCTGGCTGACCCAGACCACGAGGCATACACTGGGGAATTCAAGGGGTCGACATTAGCTTACAAACAGCGTTTAGGGGAGAAATTCACAACAATACTCTCCTTCCTTCTAGGCGGTGTAGGAGACTTGTTGTCTGCAGGGTTGCATGGCACATGTGAGGCAGAACGGGCACTGCATGCCACATGTGAGAGCTATAACGGCGAGGGCGTGGATGAGCCGGTCTGTAGAGGAGACAACTGTCTAGATACACAACATCTGTGGGAGTAGAGAGGGAGAAAAGGGGTGGGTGGAGGCGATGAATGTTGTGCTTCCTCACGGCAGGTACAGAGTCGTCAGATGCGCTTGCTGGGGTGTGTGCGCCTGTCAGGAGGCAGGGGCCGCGCCAGCAGGTGGATGAGGGCTCGTGACAGCAGTTGGGTCCATGACAGCAGCAGGGTGCAGGAAATTAGCAGGAGTACCTGAGGGAGAAAAGAGGGATGTGGGGTCTCAAGACTTCAGGCGCATGTGCGCTCGGAGCAGGTACTTATCAGAGGAGCGGCAGGGGTACTGCTGTGGGGCGGCGTCTGAGGCAGGACGGTGTGCTGGGGTCGGTAGGACGTGGTGCTTGGGGCAGGAAGAGGAGCTGGTATCTGCTTAGAGACGCAGAACTGCTTTAGGGTGTCTAACCTGCGGTGGAGACAGCAGCTGTAGAGCTGATGAGAGCTGCCTCTGCGTGATAAGCCAGTCTTCCATGTTGCTTGAAGACTGGGAGAGTGATCGGTTTCTCCTCCATCTTGTGAGGAGAATTCAGGGGTCACCATTTGTGGGGTACGGGTTGTCTGGGTTCACTCAGGATGGATGGAGAAAGGAAACTCACAATAAGTTTCTGTATACATGTTGTATTGATGTACAATGCAGCTTGGTGCTGGGAAGTGGAGCGTGTTTAAAGCGTGGTGTAGAGAGAGCTGGTTGGTGAGAATGCTCAGAGGAGGACATTGTGGGTCGCCATGCTCGCCGGCGGAGCGAGGCCGCCAGGCAGCGGCGGAGGAGGTGTTGTTGTTGCTGTGGCTGTAGCAGAAGAAGAGAGAGCTAGGTCACCACGAGGTCAGGTCTTTATAGCGGAGGTAGGCGTGGGTAGATAGTTGACCCTCGTCTGCGGGCGGTGCTGGTTGACCTAGACCACGAGGCATACACTGGGGAATTCATAGGGGTCGGCTACTCAGCGACAAACAGTGTTTGTAGGGGAGAATATCACAAGGATGCCCAGAGTGAGGGCACGCGGCTTGAGGGACGCCAAGGTTGCTGGCGGGAGCGGCAGCCGCACGGTTGGCGCGGAGGAGGAGGTGTTGCTTGCTGGTGGCACTGGGTAGTAAAGCGGTGGTAAATGGTGTCAGGCCTTATAAGGGGGTAGGGGAGAAGTTGACCCCTGCTCCGTGGGCGGCGCTGGAGGCGTAGGCTGGGGAATTGAGAAGGTTCGTGCTAGGGAGGAACCACAACAGTACCACAGTGCCATTCAGTTTCCTAAATGTCATTGAAATCTGCTCGGTAAGCAATATTTATTGTATTTAACTAGTAACTTCTAGTGATTATTTCTGTTGATATGGTAAAAATATCTTTACATGCAAAGGATGGTCTTTTATGCGGATTAAAAGTTTATAGCAATTTGTTATAATGTATTTTAATTTTATGGGTTTTACTTTAGTTTTGATCATTCGGGGAATCTTGGGAATTTAACTATTGAATCAGTAGTTTAGACAATTCTAAGGCACTTTTCATTTTTACATTTCCCAGTTAGAGGTTAGTCAAGTCATTTGCGAGGATAAAGCTCAGAAGAAGTGTCTTAGAATTGTCTCAACCACTAATTCCAATAGTTAAATTCCAACATTTCCCGGATGACCGAAACCAAAACTTAGCCTTTCATATTTTAGAACACTGATTTAGCTATAAACCTGATTGATACTTTTTTTGAAGAACAAAACGCAACATAACTAGCACGGAAGCAGAAGTATTGATCATTTATTGCATAAAAGTGCTTCAAAGTGTCAGAGAAAAACGTACAACGACGAAATGAAAGAGATGCTTGGAGAGAGCAGCAGCAGGAGCAGGCGCACAGCAGACGACGCTATTTCTGTGACCGGCGGCTGCCCTGAGCACCGGGGTCCGCCCTTGGCGACGCCTTCACCCTAGAGTCAGTTTCACGTCACAATCGACCTTGGTGAGTCGGACAGAGGTCGCCAGAACTGTGAAGCTCCGGTAGAGTAGCCGTTCCTACTCCCCAGTTTGTAGATACCATTAGTGTATTTCAGTCATGTGATACGTGTGGTAAGTGCGAGGAAACTGGATTACGGAATATTTATCTGAAATGCATTGGATCAGTGAAATATTATATATTGTAAATCGTCGTCTGCGGAGGCCAATCGAGGAAGATTAAAATTCTCATTAGTACGTCGTGACGTGTCAATTACATCCTGATTGACAATGGGTATGTATAATTAATGTTATGAGTTTGGTAGGACATGTGAGGTTATACGTATTTAAAGTCTACTGGTACACTGGGGTAGTCGGTCGTGTTATATTTGTGTACCGTCAGGGTGTAGGTTCTCGGACACATGCAGGCACTGGTGTGACAGGGAATACACGGAAAGTGTAGGTAAATATATTATTATTGGGTGGTTTTGTTGTGGTAAAAGAAATAGTGTTCGCTGTCAGGCAGGACCAAGGGAGGTGATGCTGTCGTATTGATTTTGTGGGAGGTTGTGTGTATGGCGGGCTGGACGGTGGCGTACTCCCTCCCGCCACCACTTGTTCTTGTCTCTTGAATCTTGATACTATTCCTCTCATCTTCTAATCATTCATTCATAGTAAAACAGATTCGCGTGCCTCTACTATTAAGTAGATGTTATCATTCATTGTATATTTTATAGGAATACTGAACTACTATAGTCGCTTTCCCTTACATCGGAATGTTCTGAGTATAACTTATACAGTATATAAATAATAGATATTCAGTAAAATTATAATCCAGCAACAGGTCCACATTGGTTCAGCCAACTCATAAACACTGTACGAATACAAAGTCATTCAACAAAGTGAACCACAAAATGCTTTGTTTTTCCGGAACCTTAAATATTGTAATACCTAACATGATTTCTAACTGTATAATATTAATCCAGTATTTGATAAGTAAAAAATATGGCCTCGAGGATGCTACTGCTGCTTTGGCCTGTTGTAAATTTGATTGTAATAATCGACTGATGACCAGATAAATGGTATCACGGTTAGTTTGTGTTTCTGGAACACTCGATAATGTTCAGGGGTTTTTCTTGTAATTCAGATCAGATCTAAAAGCCGAACCCTAGAAACACCCTGCTGATATACCAGTGTCATCTTTTATGATAATTGCAACGTAATTTTTCACGTACTTTATGACTTCAAAATTATTTATATCTTTTATAACCGCCCATTTTTGTTTTACAAAAGTCTCCACTAGGCTTGGAAGCGTATTCTAAGTCCAGTATATGCCCAGTACTTTCCAGCAGTGTGTAACAGAGACGTGACCGACTGCACAGGCGGCTAAAGCAATCGTTCAGTGGCGAAGGAAAAAAAGTGTGTGTGTGTTCGGAGAAAAATCAATTAATCTTGAACGGTATCATTAAATCATTAACATAAGAATATGAAAACCAGGCTCCATCACTAAAAATGTGGCTTTGTTATACCACCACTTTGGGTGGGTATATCAATAGTTATAATAAATCTCAGTACTGTGCTGCCAGAATAAATATCACAAATTTTAAGGATATACAGTATTTCAAAGGTGTAGAGGTCGCTCCATACCGTTCTTGGAACCTGTGTTCATCGCCATAATTTAAATCCTGCTGACTGACCTTAGCAGGATGGGTAATTATTTGGATGGCAGGCTACATCATCAGGTAAGCTTGAGCCTCGCTCTTGTTTATATAAATTGAGATATTACTCCAATTCATGTCTTTTTATTTATATGAAATAAATGATACATAATTGATATCAGTTAAATAGAACATCAAATTATTGTACAGACATTTATTCATCATGTACATTTACGGTGAGAAGTTCGCTCCATGGAAAAAATTGAAATTTGTTAATGTACATTTGTTGCATGGAAAAAAAATATGCTAAATATTTATTCCATATTTGATGAGTCATTCAAAATGTTGATAATGCGAAACGCTCGTTCAATGGTAAAATAATTGCGCTGATATGCGTTAAACAAATTGTTGATCCTGGGCGTTTCACCATTGTTGCTGTGTTGAGTACTGCTTCAAGGTGGTCAGTAAGTATCGGATCTTATTCTAAGTTTGGTTTATTATGTTTCATCATTAAAATGTCACAAACATAATTTCGGTCATAGGCTTTTAAGTTTGAAAAACTAGATATTTTCACTGAATTCTTTTACTTTTTTTTTTCTTCCTGCTCCAAAGCAACGGTCACATTGCCAGGTCATTGAGCTCAAGTTGAAAATCAACTGGGAGGCGACATGAATTGCCAATTAATTTTGTCAACTTTCCTTTTTTCTTCGTCTGAAAAGTTCTTATATTTTTATTCATGTTTATTTTAAAAAATTTGGCGTGATATTTTCTAAGTACTGCAATGCTTTCTCTGCATGCTAAGCGCTTTCACGTACTGTACTGTATTAGCAAAACAAAATATTAAAAGTTCATTCTATGTTGAATACTTTCCTGATATATATATATATATATATATATATATATATATATATATATATATATATATATATATATATATATATATATATTTGTCGAATTAAGAAAGGTGGCACACAATAAATTCAAAGGGTAAGCGGATAAATCGCAGTACATAAGAATGGAGAAACTGCCGCATGAAATACACGGTGAGGGATGTCTGTTTTAAGTGTCTATATTGAAAATGACACAATATTCTGTTGCTTGTGAAAACTCTGCTGATGTTAGGGTTAGTCAATTAGATATTCTAAATGGCCTTAATAGATTGAAGAAGATAAAGGTTAAACCTCTCCATTCTAAAATATGACTATGTGTGGGGCTGTGATGTGTAGAAACCATACCAGTATGACATAAACTTACGGTCACACCTAACAAGTTGTTAGTAACAACCATATTCGCTTCTCTTTCCCTATCTGGGATAGGACCTTATTTTTCGGACTAGCCTTGCCTTGACACCATAGTGGTTTGCTGGGTGAATATAACAATGTTCTACGTTAACCATTTTTTTTTACGGGATTAGCACTCGCGCATAGGTTAATGACCCACATCGGGTCCTGGGGGCGAAAATACTACTACTGACAATAATAAATAAAATAATTAAAAAAACATCAATAGTGGAAACGATATACAGTATGTATGTTGTGTTGTCAAGGTAAGAGAAACAATTGAGACCCTGCAGTTGCTTGTAAATAAGACATAAAGTAGGTTGTAGGCAGCTACCGAAACAGGGAGGAACTACCACCTGGGAAGATATTGGAAGCATAATGTGTTGTCTAATGGTAGACTCTGCTGCCATATCTCTTACTTTTATCCTCTTCACCAGTGATCAGCTCGTTAGCCGCTTGGGCGATCAGTCACGTCTCTGTTACGCACTGTTGTGAAGAGTACTGGGCATGCACCGGCTCCTGGATGTACCTGAACCTGCTCAGTGTTGGTCAAGTCTTGTCTTGAAAGAGCTCACTCAGTGCCGTCACAACATTTCTGTTAGATTATTCAAGAGTTCACAACTCTCCTCGAAAAAGTTGCCCTTGTAGTTATGGTTCTCCCTACAAACGCTGTTTGTCGCTGAGTAGCCGACCCCACCAAGTCTCCAGTGTATGCCTCGTGGTCTGGGTCAACCAGCGCCGCCATACATCACGGAGGGGTCAACTACTAGCCACGCCTACCCCGCTATTTAGACCTGACCTCGTGGTGATCTGTCCTCTTTCTACCTGCACCAACCAGCCAGCTACACCTCCTCCTCCGCCTGCCTGGTCCTCGCTCCCGCCGGCGAGCATGGCGACCCACCAGCTGGTCCTCTGAGCACTCTCACAACCAGCTCTCTCTACATCACGCTTGTATGCTGCCTTCCCAGCACCAAGCTACTGTGTATATAGAAGGCATTGTGATTTCCTTTCTCCATTCCATCCTGGTGTGAGACAAACATCAAAAACCCCACACCCTCACAGTTTCCGGACCAGCGTCTTCTTCATCACGGAATACGGAGTGTTACCAAGTCCCAGGATGCTGATCTGACTTTTTGCCTCATTTGCACAGAATTGCAGGGCCTCAATTGTTTATCTTACTATTGACCACAACATACATATATCGTTACTCACTTTTTATATATTTTTTCTTTATGTTCTTATTATTATTATTATTATTATTATTATTATTATTATTATAAAGATAATAATAATATTTTGATGTGGGTCAGTGACCTGTGCCCAGGTGGCCTACGTAAAAACAATAGATCAGCAACCTGGGACTTGGTCATAATTTTAGTGATGCCATATGGCATGGGGTCTACTGTGGGGTACGTGGTATTGGTTCACACTCGGGATGGGATGGAGAAAGGAAACTCACAATGTGTTCTGTATACATTGTAGTGGTTCTCCCTACAAACGCTGTTTGTCGCTGTAAACCCACGAATTCCTGTGTATTGGTAATGATAGTATTATGTATTGCAAGGATGGGGTGCATTTAAGTAGGAAGAATTTGGCCGTGCTAGCGAAGATAGTTGACAAGGGTAGTAAAGGGTGGGGTTTTAATGTCCAAATTATCAATGGTAAAGAGGAAAATACCATGTGAAAAAAACAGCAGTGAAACAGAAGTAGATAATGCTGAAAATATAGTTAGTCATAACCAACAAACATCAAAGTAATAAATGTAAAACAGATGAAAAGAGGAAGAAATATATTGAGTGTTTATTATACTAATAGTAGAAACGTGTAACAAAATGGACCAGCTCAAGAGCCATTGTTAGTAAAAAGAGAACATAGATATAATTGCAATAACGGAAACATGGATAATTTCAAACAGCAACATTTTTTAGCAGAATTTCATATTCAGGATATAACCTATTTAAATTTGACAGAGTAGGAAGGAGAGGGCGATTGTGGCAGTGTATATCAGGGGTGTCATTAAAGCTTCCAATAAATCAAACATTAAAACAAATGGCGACAATGAAAGTATTTGGGTAGAGATTGGTGAGGCAATGAGTCGTAGTCATTGGTGTTATATATAGACTACTAATTTGAGTAGGAACGATGGTAAATTGCTATGGGGAGGAAAATAAAGAAGGCATCTGATAGAAACAATATGTGTATTCTAGGCGATTTCAACTTTTCAGGCTTAGATTGGAAAAATCAACTTAAAAGTAATGAATCTGAAGATTTTCTAAGTAGTACAAATAGTTTTTATATCAATTCATAAACTCGCCCACTAGAGGAAATAATATCTCGATTTAGTTCTCAGTAATAAT